CCTGAAATCAACATACTTAAGTTTCAGCCTTTTAACTTACTGGAAAGGCTCACAGAGGTCAATTCACCAGTGCTACAGGCTTCTATGGTATGTGTATTTTCAGGAACACTCCAGGGGGGTGGTCAGTGAGATGTAGGAATATTTAACACATTAAATGCAAAACCTTTGCAAATGTGATGCTTGAAATCAATGAAAATATCTGTGTATGATATTAATGACTATGCATAAAGTTCTACAAAGAAAGTGTCAGATAATCTTAGGCCATCTCATATCTTTCAACTGTCAACGCCCTCTCATTTCCTTCACAGCCAAAACAATGGCTGCTCCTCCCCAAAACAGGACAGGCCTCTTAATACATCACACACTGAGGTGTCAAGACAGATAACCAAAAGCAACAAATGGCAGGCTTTTTATGACACCCTCTTCTATGGCAAGGTAATCACAGCTGTTATGTCATATAGAAGCGGAACATGAGTGATGACAGGTTGAAATATGCTTCGAGATGCAGGACTTGTGGCAGGGAATCACCAAGAGGCCACGCTAGTATAAGTGAACCCAAACAATATATGAAAATCACAGCCAATCAGACAGTTTGTTAGGGGAAACACCCCTTTTCTTTCTTTCTGTTTGCATGAGGTCAGGTTGTGAGTTACTGAACCAAAAACAAGTGGCACATGGTTCCTAGTTAATAATATGTTAACAGGATTGTTGACAATCATAACTGACAATCGTTCATAAATATTTAAATCCATTATATCTATAAATACATCAATAATCAAATATAATAATACATTAATATATACTAAAATTCACCAATTAAGCATATTATAAAACTGCATTTATATACATTATATGTATATAAATTATTTAAATAACCAAGCAATAAATTATTTAAATAAGCAATTATTTTTATAATTTAATTGTCATCTGCCTGCCTGTTGCATTAGTTGCATTTGCAGTGAAGCAACAATGCAAAAAGAAAACAAGCGACATTAATTGTGCCCTGCATTCGGGTCATTTAAGTTAAATTTTAGGCCGGTGCTGACGTTTAGTATCCAAGCAGCTCTGCAAAAAAAGATTATAAACAAAAATTTGGCTTAAGGCTTAGGGTTTTACAAAGAGGTGATCTCCACAACAGCTGCCTTTATTTCATTTAGTTAACACATTAACACATCTCTGAGCTTGCTTTGCATAAACTGCACAGAATGGCCTGCAAAAAAATCATTTATTTTAGTCAGTATCGTGGTTTTGTTTTCCTTTAAAAATATCTAAACATCCTTAAAATTAGACAATTGTACTTAAGAAGCAAATTTATGTGAGACTTTAACCTTTCAGAAAATATTTTTTGATATACTTATCTTTTACTTAATTGGCAAATAGTTTTTTGTAGTTGTGAGCATTTTTCTTTTTAGAATTATGATTATTCTTCAATTAGTTTGCAAATAGGGTAAGAAAAATCAACTTAATTCAAGATATATTATCTTGCCTCTCAGTCAAATGTGAAGACGTTTAGATATATTCCCTGGAAAACAAGACAAAATACTGATTATGATTAAAAAACAAAAATCATGCATGTCATATCTCAACTTGTTTGTGCCAACGCTTACTGTTTTGCAAGAATTCCAGCACAAAATATCACCTGCAATCCTAGAGCTGAGCATTTAAACAGGAAGGGAAAATGTGTAGTGTAAACAGCTTTGACAGAGTTTTGCATACCAATGAACAGCGTAATTCATTACACAATAATACTGCAGAGTTGTTTAGTTAAAGTAATTTTAAAAGGCCAATATATAAATGTTCCCATGACCACGTGGACAGAATCAAAACACATGCACAATGCACGTGTAACCTCACCAATCTATATGTACAGAAATAGTATATACATAGAAAATATTATTCGAATTCAGATCAACGCGTGATAGGAAGCATGCAACAAACGACACGTGAGTTTTGCCCTGCCCCTCCGGAGGTCTCTGTGCACGCCACTGTTCTAAAGTACACGTTGCTTAAAAACAATCCGCGCTCTTTTCATTCCAGATTATCAATCAATTAGTAATATACCTTAATGTAAGTTTATTCATCCTAAGAAATTAGATTTATTGGTACTTACCCCAAGAATAGGCAAATATGTGGCTGTGCTCACTGTCCAGCTCTCTTTGTGCGCTGGATCTGCGTCCATGAGGTGAGAGCTGTTTACCCCTCTCAAGTGTGCTTGACAGAATTTGTTTGGCTCCTCCTCCAGTCGGCTGCAATTGGTTACTCAGGTAGATGCGTCGCCACAAGAAGGCGGTGCTTAGAAACTTTATCTGCGATTTTATTGGTTCTTTTCTTCTTCACTCAACGAAAGTGCTGACAAACATTTTACATAAAACACTCAGAACAAAGGACATTTTACCCGTTATATTATGCGATAGTAAACTAGTGATGCGCCTCAATAACAATGTTTTACAAAATTAATTGTAATAATACAAATAATAATACAAAAGTAATTAATTTGGTCTGTCTGATGCGATCACTATTTTGATTGTTTATTATTAGTTATTCATGAGCAGTTGCGTCACGAGAATTAAACCGATTTCTACTGCAGTTTTTAACAAATTATACTGCTGAATTTACGCATAATTCAATTTCAAAACAACATAATGCCCATACTTGGTCCTTTACTGCCATCTAGTGGTTCAAAATCCCTTCGGTTGGCCCAAAACCATTAAGAACAGAGGCGATTATTGCCCCAACATAATTCACAGAAACTGAAAAGCATGTGTCTGAATCTAACAAAAATATGCTAATCAATAAATAAATATTTATACTGCCTGACAGGAGACTATATAACTGATCCTGCAATGCAGGGTATTTTGTGTGGAATTAAAAAAAAAAAGTGACTCAACTGTTATTGATTCTATTCTATTCTATTCTATTCTATTCATTATATTATTCATTTATTAATAAAATATTAAAATATAGTTGCATTTACTGTGTTTTACCGCTAGGTGGAATACATGTCATATATTATGATTCTGTGATGAGTAGCTTCCTCAAATATTAGATGACAAATATGAATTTTCATTTGTTCGTTTGTTTATTGAATTTGATGAAGACAATTTAATCTATAATCAATGACATGTTAAAACTCTAAATTAAAGCTGAGTTTTTTTCCCCATAGGTTTGTCTACTGTTCCGTGTTGCCTATATTGTGGCCTGCATGTTGAAAAAAAGTGCTTTACTGGATGAAGCTGGACACTACACTTAATGAAACATAAACTTATCAAACATACTGTGTGTTGACATAAAGTAAGCAATAACTTGTGTGGGAAAATAAGCATTTGCAATGGTGCATCGACATAATAAATTTAGATATATGCAAAGCTTTGTAGAGACCATTTCTCACACTTCTTCTTCTGCAAGGCAGAATCATCAACTAATGCAATACTCAAATAATATTAAGTAATTTTAACAAACGTGTTTTAATGAAAGACCATCATTGTGCAACTTCTCAGTCTTAATGCTTATTTATTTTAATGTGGGTATAGCTGATTTATTTCTAACTCATTTGAAATGAATATATATGAGCTCTACGACTGCACGGTCATGACTTTATAGCTGCTGCAGTTGATAGGGAAATGTTGGTGGAAATGAATTATGTTGGCTTGAGGGCTCACATGTTGCCCATATCCTGAAACTTCGAAAGATCTCAGAGACAGCTCTATACTTTAAAGAAAGGAATCTTATTGTTGAACATGGTCATGCACTCCGTCTCAATTATAGAGGATGGAAAATTTATTTTCATACCACCTATCTGCAAGCCCGTCTCATTCAAATCAGAGTGGCCACCGAAGCATTATATTTTCCATCCACTTTACTCGTGCATATGACACACTTTCCTTTGTTCGGTGGAGCTGGTCATCAGTGCATCAGAGAGAAAGAGAGAAAATCAGAGTGATGTTATCATACTGTACATTGGGAGCAGTAATAGGAATTGTTGTGGTAGGTGAGCTATATATTAGCAGGTCAGTTAAAGAACTGGCTTCATTTCTTCCTTTCTGACCTTTGACAGAGTCTAGGCCTGTTTTTATGGTTTTCATGAACATACATCAGAGAAGACATTCCCACTGAGCTACTAAGACCCTTCTTCTGCTTAGTTGGTGAGTCATTCAAACTACAAATACAGGTTGTTAAAAGAATGTATGGGTAACACTTAACAACTTTCATTAATAATATCAGCACATATAACTACAATATACAATGCTTAACAGCGAGGATGCAATTATATTCTGGATTGAGAACGACTACACATTATATTAAGAATCAAATATTGAAATGTAAGTAGAGAGAAAGAGAGCAGGATAGATCTTTTGGTTGTATCTTTTGTTATAACCTGCTAATCATATATTATTATATAATTAATATATTTTTATATTAATATTAAATATTTTAAAGTGGGTATATCAGTTCATATATAAAATATACAAAAATAAAAATACATTAATATAATTATAATACAATAATGATGTAAAACACTATTTTTATTTTAAATTAATGTTTGCATTATTATGTTTCACTTGAATATATAAATATTATACATATACACAGACACATAAATATTCATAATATAAATAGAAATATACATAAATATACATATATAAAATACATGTAATTATAATACAATAATTAAATATTAATTAAATTGCTATTTGCATTATATATGTTTCTCTGTAATATATATATATATATATATATATATATTACAGCTTAAGCCTCAATATAAAAACATACGTTCAGTCAAGTGGGTGCAAACTGCAAACCTTTGGTAGATTTGTAAAATAGTCGTAAACAAAACAAGAAACCAAACAAGCATCTATATATTCAGCAGTCTAGTTAATAAAGTAATAAATCAAACGGAGCTCTTCTTTTCTGAGCTGAAGTCTTAGACATCAAGCCTCGTTCTTCCCCTTGTGCTCAATGTGCGAAAGAGCTCAGGGAGGCTCTGCCTGTTCCGTTGAATTCAGACTCACTGTCATTTTAACTTCCTTCCTGCCTTTTGTACATTAAATAAACATACGGCTCTGACGCGAGGTGTCGAACAGCTCGTGTGATACACAGTAACACAGTTACATTGCTTTAAATTGGCGAAAGAACTCTTGGAATGTAACAGCAGCGGAGCAGCTCTAGTTCTTATTCTGCTACGTGTCCCGGATTCGCGAATCCGCGCCTCAGCGACAATTTAAGCAACAGCGTCTGCAACAAGGAGACTTGTTGGTAAGCATCCGACTTTAGTGTGAACATGCTGTAAAAGTTCACTTTTTAGAAACATCTGCATAAAGGAGACCTAAAACAGTCAGACTCAACTATCTGACTTAACGAAGTGTATTGAGAGAGTAGCAGAGATCTGTTTAGTTTATGGCACTGTAATAATGCAAGCGTTTTCTATTCGGGGTTTATTATTAAGGGGTTGTTGAGACATCTTAAATAGTGATGACAATAGAAAGTGTATGTTTTATGTACCGCTGTTCTGAAAACTGATTAAAATACGATAGAAAATATAGAAAAACTGCCTAATATTCACTAAGTGTAAGGTGTGAATGTATATGAATGTGTTTTACCTTTGCAAGAACTGTGATCAAGTTTTATCCTTGAAAAAAACTTCACTATCCATTTATGTTCTTATTATTTATGTATTTCTTATACATAATAATCCCAATGGAATATAATTTTTCTTGGAATAAGAATGTGGCAAATGCTTCTACTGTGTTCACAAGAGAGTGAGCACGTGTTTTCCAGCTCATTCAAATTCAGTGAATGCCAAAGGGTGGGCAGTTCAGTGAAGGGCTTTTATTGAGATGCTTTAAAGACTCAGGAGAGTAATTTTTTCTTGTATCAGATTAGTTCATATAAACCCTCTGCTGCTTTATGATCCTCTGTGATGATGAACGGCTTTTAGACATCACACTTGCTGTGAAACACAAACAGTGGGGTACACCAGTGACGTGGGATGCCTCAAGATGCATTTGAATTGTTAGAGCAATAATGGACCGTTAAAAATCACTTAAAAGGGTGGTGGTTGGGTAAAAAGAGAGGAGGTGCATTCCAACTTTGACCTCTCCCCTTCAATTTAAAATGCAGGACACAATGTGTCCGTCCCACCTGACTTCTTAGTCAAAGCATGTGATGTTTACCTTGACTCTACGAAAGGCATCGCTATTTAATCGAACAACCAAATTCATCTTGAAGAGGTGGATGTTTCAATTCGCATATGGTTGCTGGAAGGTGAGCATCCTGACAGAGTGTTTAGGAAAATTATATATTTGCAACTAAACAGTTTCTATACAGATATATTTTGCTGCTTTCTTTGGGTGTGTTGATCCTCGGATCATTTGCCTCAACTGCAAAAATAATTAGTCCCACTTGGAAAACTTGCAGGAAATTGTTCTGGTTCATTATGAAATCATTTGCCTCAGCCTTTGAGTTAATCAAATTTCAATGCACCAGTTAAACTAAACTTTTTCCCATGTCGTAGCTTTTGCTATAAATGGAAGCAGCTAATGGATACCTCACTGACTGTTTTTCCTTAAGATCCTCAGATGCTTAACATCAGCAGGGTTGAGGCCTCACAAACAGCGCTGTTAGTAAAAAGACACAGGTACTTTTTTTTGGTATGTGAAAATTAATGTACATCATTATCTTTTCGTTTACAGACTGGCAAGACACATTAAATGCGATATAAGCGTTATGGTATTTGAAATGTATTATTATTATTATTATTTTGTATGAAGTTGTATTGTATTACATCCTCAGTCGTTCTCTTTTCCAGGCGAAGACATAAAAGGTTATGTTATGTTGAAAGGTTATATCTGATCAGCTCTGTGTATGTTTCTGCAAATGGAAAAAGGTATTTTGTCTGACGCACTTAAAACTGTGGGTTCATAACATGTAGACTCTTAGTGAAGATTATTCAGACAAATAAATGAGCTAGTATTAGTCAGAAGGACAAGCAAAACTTGCAGCGTCTCACTACAGAAGCCAACGGAAACATCTTGATAGCAATCAAAACCAACACAATTATAAAAATATCTGGTGATCAGCAGAAGGCGTTTACATTTAACAATAAAAAAAACTAATTTATTGTCTGTATTTCAGTAGGTGTTTAATGCAAATGAATATGACGACAGTGACCACAATAAGGCACTTTTGCATTTCTGAAATGCCCTCACGTTTACTGAATTTATTCAGGCAGTCTTGTTATCATAGCCATCACATTCAGTGTTTTGCACAACAGTACGCTAACCATTAAAACATGATATTCTCTATTTAAACCATCTCTTGTGCTTTGTTTCAGCACTCTGCTAAAGGATAAACCAGTAGTGGATATAATATGTGAATGAGGAAAGGAGTCTGGTATTGTAATCTATTCTACATGTCAGCTTTCCTTGGTTCCTATTAACAATGGTTGGCTCAAAAGTCCAATGGACTTTGGATGAGTAGACCTAAATGGGAGCAAAAACGGACAGAGTCAGTCTGCCACTATGGCAGCTTATGCTCTGAACAGCCTGATAATGATGAACCCCGACAACCTGACCAATAAGAGCAGCCCACGGACAGGAAGGCCTGTGCTCTCAGTGCCCAGTCGTTCTACATTTAGCCCGGTGCTTGGGGGCAGTGGAGGTCCCTATAGCCCCGGCAGCCTGAGCCCTGGGTCAGCAGGAAAAACCTTCGTCTTCCCAACAGGTACCGGTTCCAGTTGTCAAAGGGCACATTCACCATGTCGACTGCCGGAATCGCTGGGTGTGCATGTGGGAAGTCGTGTGCGAAGACTAAGCGGGTCCGGCCTGGAGGACGAAGAGGAGAACGAAGAACGCCGTGCCGCTCAGCAACTTGAGCGCCACAAGGAACTGCAGAACGTGGAGGTGAACAAGAAGGTGGACCTGTTTGAGGCCCAAATATCGGCTCAACGAAGCCCACGGATTTCTAGGAAAACTCCCCTGAATTCTGTCCCTGTCCAACTTGCCAATCTCTCCTTAAACCCAGAGGAAACACTTGTGACGCAGTACAAGGATCACTCAATGGGGATCCCCAAAGAACTGCAAAATGGAAAGCGCTTCTCTGGCATGGAGGAGGGGCTGCAGGTCAGCGGTGAAGAGAAGGACGGGGCTGACCCAAATACAGAAGAGGGCTGCCCACTTGAAAGCACATCAGCACGAACTAAGAGCAAAGCTGACAGCCCTACTTACAATCACTCCAGGACTTCACCAGAGGCCAATAAGTGCTCAGCATCTTGGACTGAGACATGTTTGACAAAGGCGGAAGTTGAGCCAAAAGAAACCCAGGCAGAGCCCGACGGGGTCAGTCCAGAGGTGGGCTCCATCCCCGCTGTCATTATTACGGACCACGGCATGGAGGTCAGTGGGGAGGGCAAGGAGCCCCAGGTTAGTCCTCAACCTTACAGAGCCATGAGGAAGCTCTCCTCTTCTTCTGCCTCGTCAACGGGATTCTCCTCTTCCTGGGAGGAATCAGAGGATGATATTTCCAGCGACACAGAGCGGTCCCCAGCCTTCCTGCAGACACAACAGAAAGCGGTAAGACCACCTGTTATACTCTGTTCTCTTTTATACTTAATTTATTGGCTTTTGTAGACAGGACAGTGGATAATTGACAGGAAAATACAGTGTCAGAAAAGAAATGTGCAAATATTGCACCTTTAATGGTACAGCAGCTTGTCATTGGGACAGTACCCTTAAGGAACAACTATTTTATTTACCCCTAAAAGGTGCATCTTAGCACCTTAGAGTAGTAATAAGTACTCTAAAAGTGCTACTATGCTCCTTTAAGGGGGAAAATAAGGTAAAAGTTTACTTTCCCAAGGTACAATTTTTGCAAATTTTTTCTGGGAGTGTACAAGAAGCCAGACAGGACCGGAACTTGAACCAGGTTTCACATGATAACTAGGGTTGGGTATTGTTTTTATTTTTTTACGATACCGGTAACAAATCGATACTTTTAAAATGGTACCGGTGCCTAAACGGTGTCTGAACCGATACTTAAAAAAAATTACCCAAAATAGGATGGATTGGCCATTATTGAGCGCTATAAACACATTTAATGTCTGTTTCATTCATACTGGACGCCAGAGGGCGCCCTTGCACAGAAACTCCACATGTGCATCACAGAAGGAATAGAACTCAGGAAATCCTTAAAATGGACAAAGGCATTGCTATCATTGTAACTGAGTAAACAGAAGATATAAACGTTTTGAATGATAAAACAAAGACAATAAACACTCGACTGCGACCTTGTATAGTTTATCTGTGTTATTCAAGCCATCTTTGGTATTTTCATCATAATTAAGTATATTTATACGAAATTTGATGTTGTTGCTGTCAAACACAAATGCTTTTTAGATGTCTTCAGTTTCTCTGTTTGGCAGAACTACTTTCAGGGGTGTAGGTTTTACCTTAGAAGTGCTTATACACGTACCGGTCAGTCCCACAAGTTATGTATTCTCGACTTCCTCCATTGCATTCACACTGTCCTTACGCTCTCCTGCTCAGGGCTCGTCTGTAGTCACCCTGAGTAACTGTTGACATTCTCACATACAAAGGTACTTCTGTGTCCTGCTGTCAGATGGACTTTTTTCTCTGACTTTAGTTGGCCGCCCTTTAAACAAAGTACAAAAGAAGAGTGAGGAAACAACAGCGGTGTATAAAGTTAGCGACAGCAACTTTTCCATGGGTTCATACTCTAAATTTTAAATTATGATTTGTCATGAAGTGGTTACATGGAAATAAACACTTTAGTTGTAGGTTATGTGTTTTATTAGCTTTTCAAACAAAAACATTCATTACAAGTAAATGAAACATGGAGACCTCATAGTCAACAGCATTAGCAGTTTTATAGAATTCATATACCTCAAGCGTATACAATCATATGCTGCACAAGTGACACGTGTGACGCACTTTCTAGGGGGTTACGCTTGTCTCTGCGACGTTTGCCCTCATGAGAATGTGTGGGCCCGCCTATTTAGGCATGTTGCGCTTGCAGGCGCATCAAGAGACCCTGCGGCTAGCGTGCTGTTACAGAGAAGCTCATTGTTTAGACATGGATGTCACACAGTCCTCCAGCCTCACACTAAGTTGTAGAATAATGTGGCTCTGCTTGCCACACAGGCTCTACCCCGCAGGGCACTTTATGTGACGTCTATTCCTTATAAACACATTGGAGGAGAGCAAACATCCTATTGTACCATCTGGAGGAATGATAGCACTCATAAAAGATTGTTTAACTATTCACAGGGTGAGATCACTTGATAGCCTTGAACTTCTGCGATGTAATCTTTGCTGTTCCCGGACATGTGCATTTACAATGGAATGGCTTTGGTTTTGGAGGGCAGAATGTACTATCAGAGCCGCATGTTGTTGGGATTCAGGGAACAGTCAATTAAAGTGAGCTATCTAATGCTCACTTTACTGGTCTGAATAATGTATACTAGTTAATGACCTTTACTTAAAAAAGGTGCATGACAAATATTTGTGAAAAATTTTATTTTAATTAACTTTCTCAAAAGTGACTAGTCTATTAGCATGTCAGCAATGCTGCTAAAAAGAATTCTAGTTTTTTGTTTGTTGGTTTTGACATTTTAGTGGCACGGCCGCTTTAATTTGCATGGTGGGAACAAGACCAAGAAAAGCCAAGACTCGCGACTTGTGTTGAACTTGAAACCAGGATAATAAAGATAATAATACAAGTGGGTTTCCTTACAAAGGATTAGTCGACTGTGCCGTGACAGATGGACTCGGGTTCAAGACGGTCCAAGGTCATATTCTAGTACTGTTCACCCTCTGTATCTCTCCCTTTACTTTCCAGTTGCTTCTAAATTGTCCTGTGTAATAAAGGCAAAAAGTCAGTAAATAAAATAAGTAGTTCTGCACATCCCTAGATTATAGATTATGTTCACACACACAAATATATTCTATATATAAATATTTTATATATTCTTGTGCTTATATTTATATATATATATATATATATATATATATATACAATAAATATCTGTGGCTTGGCTTTCTTTTCTTAAGCTAGCCTTGTAGGAAAACCCTTTGGCTCACATTGTGTACTTAACTGTTGAAATATTCTGTGGTCATTTCGGTTTTTTATTCACTCGGTTGTTTCCAGGCTCTGAGTGATCACAAGATTATCACAAGGATGCTTTTCAAAGGGTTATAACTAAAAATCAATAAACAGATGCTTTCAATGATCTCATTCTTTCTTCCAAAACAGGTTTATCTCACATTTCATGGTTCTGCTTAGCCTCTCACCACACACAGTAACACAGTCTGGGGTGAAATTCATGAGCAATAAACATATCTGTGTTCATTTTACTCTACAAACACTTGCAGCATGGTTTCTGTTTCGTGAGCAGCACCAGCCCTTCGGAAAATTTAATGGTGATTAAAAACCACAAACTTGTTATCATTGCTTTCGGTCAAACATGTGACCCAGAAAAGTTTCCAGTGGGCTTGCCTTTTAAGCGCTAATGGTGGTGTGTTGTGGTTTAGTACTGCTAATTACGTCCCATGTGCTCAGCAGAGGGGATCCCTCAAGCACGGTTCCTTTGACAGCTGTTACACATTTCACTTCACTGAGACTGCAAACTCATAAATTTTTTTGGATCTCCAAATGTTTTCGAATAGCACAGAAAGTGAAACTATACCACAGATGAGTTTCTCAAGATTAAATTTTCCCTGCACTTCCTCCTTGCGACCAGGTTAAAGGTGTGTCGCCAGGATGTGTTTAGGGAATGCACCTGGACTGGTTGTAAGTATGCTCTGCTTTGCTCCACTATTAGGAATAATTATCGTTGTGTATCTTTAAAAATGGTCTTCCTGTTGCTTTGACACGCTTGCAATGCACTGTTGTTGTTAATGCGGCAAGTTCTTTTAATAAAGACGATCAGATACACAAGATAACACTGTCCAAGAGGTGTGGTTCACTTTTCTGCATGCTCAGTAACTCCCCTGATCTGGTGTCTCCTTTTCCTGTGTCAATCAGATGAGGGAAGAACCCTTGTCTGTGTGTTTGTCTGTCTCTGCACAGAGGCTTGTGGTTACTTGCTCTAGCAAACCCAACAGCAAGTGTAGCCTAACCAAGCCTGCTGTGAGCAAAGCTGTGAGCATTTATATTGCACGTCTTTGTCACTTTTTGTTTATTTACCACAATGCCGAGCTGCATTTTATTGCATGATCCAGACAAGTTGTGTTACAATCAGTGGTTCTTATCTGGTATGTTGCAGGCCTGTTCTAATTGGAACAGAAGCTGAAAAAACAATGTTAAATGCAAATAACTAACCATATAATCATGTATAGTTAGGATAGCAAAATAAATAGGAATAATTAACTTCTATTAACATTCTTTCGCCCCACACAATATAATACAAAAACCTAACTCTACATACAATATAATATATAAAATATAATAAAATAAAATGCAACTAATCATATGATTTGGGTAGCAAAATAAATTGGATTAATCAGATTCTAAAAGGAAAAAGAAAATACAAAAATCATTCCCCCTACACAATATAATATAAAAATAGAAATAAAACAACAACAACAACAATAATAATAGTGTAAATAACAATATTATTTGAGTGTTGTACCACTTGATGTCCAGTGTAAAATCTGGGTCTTGAATTAAAACCTTTTAAAAACCACAGCTTTATTGTAAAAAAAAAAAAAAAAAAAACAGGAATATTTTTTAGAAGTTATTTTATCTAATTGCACGACACATCTTCGGTATGTAAAGTTCAAAAATAATGCTCTATTTGTTCTGCTTATGTAGGCCTTGATGTTGACTGTATTAGGTCAATATTGAAATGATGTTACGTTACATTAAAATGATTGGCAGTTTAATAAGCTCTGGCATATTAATGGTTGTTTTAACTCTAATATAAGCCCAACAGGTTTGAAAATTTATGTGAGAATTTGAATAAGGTATGATGAAGCATGTCTAGGCCTGTGGATCGCTGTAGGCTGCAGGCTACAACAAGTGGGCAGACAGCTTTCTAGAGATAGTGTGTGTAGCACACATGTTCATGTAAAAAAAAATTGTGCAAACTGAATGAACACACTCACAGGCTGTTTATTGTTGGGAAATATTGTCGTTCTTAGAGCAATATCATGGACAGCATTAAATTATTTAATTATACCAAATAAGTCACCAATTTAGAGATCATGAATTGATTGGATAGTAAAAAGCATTATAAACTAAAAGGGAGCCAGTACAAATGTGTGTTTGCAGTGAATGGGTGCTATCAGAATGAGAGTCCAAACAGCTTATAAAAACATCAGAATAATCCACAAGTAACCCACATGACTCCATCAATGAATGTCTTGTGAAGTAAAAAAAAAAAACTGCATGTCTGTAAGAAACAAAACCATCAACTCGTTTTTAAATTCAAAACATTGCTTCCAGATAAAATACTGTATGAGTCCTCTATCCATAACTTTGCTTTCTCCAGTGAAAAAAACAGTAATAGTTTAAAACAGGTTTAGCAAATATGTTCATCCCTCCCCCATCATTC